CAATTATGTAAAAAGTTTTCATTAAGTTTAATAAAGATAAGAGCAAGGTCTCACCTTAAATATTTTAAAAAAAAAAAAAAAGAATTATCAGGTAAAAAGCTTATTTATTGTACTATGTATTAATTAAGTTTATTTTAATACCTCAATGCTAACACTGCTATTATCTGGAATATAGTAAGAGTGAAAGTTTTTGTTATTTAACAGAAAGTATGAATATAAACCAATATACAGTTAAATGCAATTTGGTCAGCTTTAAATTTTGAATAGAACTTTATACATATATATACTTAAACCTATATTTATTTACCCATATGTGTAGTATCATGCTATACCATATTGCACCATTATCATGCAAACAATTGTTTCCTCCTCAGGCTTACAATTGTTTGTTTACTTCTTTTAACATTGCCCCAAACCTGAGCCTAGTTTGATCCCGATTCTTCTTTTTTGAGATCTTGGTGGGCTTGGTTCTTCTCTTTTTCTATAGATGACCTTTTCCTTTCTGTGGCTTTGGTGTTTATCCTTCAAAATTCAGCCACAATGTCTTGATGTTCAAATTGTAGTCTTTGTCATGTTTTTGAGTATCATGACAGTAGTGTCATCCCAATGATAGTTATCACACTACTGTAACTTGCTATAACTATAGCAAGTAATATAATAAGTTATAGCTATAATGCTATAACTTACTATATTACTTGCTATAGTTATAGCAAGTTACAGTGAAGTGTGACTATCATTGGGATAATTCTACTGCATCTCTACTCATAATATTGAATTCAGCACGATTGGTTTCAATTATAATTGTTAGATAAAACCTCAAAGTTTCATGCTAATAAAACTGTAAAACCTAGTTTTGTCTTTCGTAAACTAAAATATCAAATGACAAAATGACAAAAGGTAATAAAACTGATGAAAAGTCACGAAGCTAGCAAGGCATGTGTCTGTCTTTTGCAATTTGATTTACTATTAATACATGTATATATTTTTTTTTTATTTTTATTTTTTTAAATTTTTAAATATTTGAGATATTAATAGCTTAGGGCTGTGTCATTAATCACCTGATTATTTTTATCAGAGGCCTACCCCCTCCCTCTTCATTAATATACAAATAGTACAGTTCCTTATATATAATTTCAACTTTTTTACTTCCCCTCCCTCTCTAAAAAATTACTTAATTTGAATCTCTTGCAGTATAGATTATACCTTTGGTAGATATTCTGAAGCATCTAAAAAATACAAAATTTACTTGCAACTTATTCGAAATTATATAAGTTATACAAAATCTAAGTTTGGATTAAATTCAGCATTTAGAATATATGTGTAAGTAGATTAGATCACTTGTAAATTTAAACTTTAAAATTTATTGTTATAATACTTAAACTTTTAAACTTTGAATTCTTTTACCAAAGCTTTCTTTAACCAAGTTGAATATATATACTAATAGAACTTTTCTTGAATAGAAATTAACTCTATAGACATGACTTAGAATTATGAGTAGATTTTGAAATTTTCTTTGATTACAACTCTCTCTGACTCTTTTTGGTGTGTACAAAGAGAACTTTGATTTTTTAAAACTCTTTTTGATCAAGAACTCTCTTTAACCGGGTAGATGCATACTAAATGTTCTTTAATTGGTTTTTTGAAATTCGCTTTAACCAAACTCTTGAACCACTGAATTATGTTTTTTTTTAAAATAGAAATTAACTCTATGGATGTGACTCTGGACATTGGTTGGTCACAACAGTTGTGTGCTGGGGTGGGTACATAACACACACATGCTTTTAGTTGGCTCTTTGAAACTTTTATTTAATCGATCTAATAGAATTATAGGTGGATTTTAAAACTTTCTTTGATCACAACTCTCTTTGGCCGGTAATTTTTAACCAGAATTCTTTTTGGTGTGTACAAAGAGAACTTTGATTTTTTAAAACTCTCTTTTGACCAAGAACTCTCTTTGACTGAGTAGGTGTATACTAAAAGTTCTTTGATTGATTTTTTGAAATTTGCTTTGACCAAACTCTCGAACCACTAAATTATGATTTTTTAGAATAGAAATTAATTCTACAGTATGGATGTGACTCTGGACATTGGTTGGTCACAACAGTTGTGTACAGAGGTGGGGCACATAATACACACACTTTAGTTGGCTCTTTGAAACTTTTATTCGACCGATCTAATAGAATTATAGGTAGATTTTAAAATTTTCTTTGATCACAACTATCTTTGGCCATTATCTTTGACCAGAACTCTTTTTGGTGTGTGTACAAAAAGAACTTTGATTAGTTTTTTAGAATTTGCTTTGACCAAACTCTTGAACTACTGAATTATGTTTTTTTTTAAAATATAAATTAACTCTATGGATGTGACTCTTGACATTGGTTGGTCATGATAGTTGTGTGTGGGGGTGAGGCACATAACACACATATGCTTTTAGTTGGCTATTTGAAACTTTTATTTAACTGATCTAATAGAATTATAGGTGAATTTTGAAATTTTCTTTGATCACAACTCTCTCTGCCCAGTAATCTTTGACCAGAATTCTTTTTAGTATATACAAAGAGAACTTTGATTTTTTAAAAGTCTCTTTTGACAATAAACTCTCTTTGACCAGATAGGTATATACTAAAAGTTCTTTAATTGGTTTTTTGGAATTCGCTTTGACCAAACTCTTGAACTACTGAATTATGTTTTTATTTTAGAATAGAAATTAACTCTATGGATATGACTTTGGATATTGGTTGGTCACGACAGTTGTGTGCGGGGTGTGGCATATAACACACATGTTTTTAGTTGGCTCTTTGAAAACTTTTATTTGACCGATCTAATAGAATTATGTGATTTTGAAATTTTTTTTGATCACAACTTTCTCTGACTAGTAATCTTTGATACAAAGAGAATTTTAATTTTTTAAAACTCTCTTTGATCAAGACTCTCTTTGACCAGGTAGATGCATATTAAAAGATCTTTAATTAGTTTTTTTCTCTGCTGCTGAATTATGAATTTTTTAGAAGTGACTCTGTATATTGGTTGGTCACGACAGTTGTGTAAGAATTTTGTATTGCAATTTGTAATTCTGAATCAGCATCAGACCATTATTTAGAGTTGAAACTTAAAGAAGAATTCTGAATAATTCCCACATTTAATAACGTAATTCCAAATTTTTCTTTTGTCAATTTGTAAGTAATCAAACTTTTAATTGGCTCTTTGAACGTTTGATTTGACCGAATGAATAGAATTTTGGGTGGATTTTGAAATTTTCTTGATCAAAACTCTTTTTAACTGGGTAATACTTTGGTTGGTTCTTTGAAATTCTCTTTAGTACAAAGAGAACTTTATTATTCTGAAATCTATCCTGCTAAATTATGAATTTTTTAGAACTCCTAGATGTCAGTTAGTCACATGTTCTTTGAAAACTTTGATTCAACTGAGTAGATGAGTACTTGGTAGATTTTGAAATTTTCTTTGACTAAAACTCTCTTTGATTAGATAATAATTTGGTTGGTTCTTAAAATTCTCTTTGACCAAAACTCTCTTTGATGTGTATAAAGAGAACTTTGATTGATTCTTTAAAAACTTTAATTTGACCGAGTGGGTGTATTAATAGGACTTTAGTTAGTTCTTTAAAATTCTCCTTAATCTCTGGTTGGTTCTTCTGACTGGAATAGGTGCATATCTAATAGAATTCTCTCTGACTAACCCTAATATATACTTAAAACTAGTTTTATATATATACTAAAAAAAAAACTTAATTAACTAAATTAAAAATATTTGATAATAATTAATAATAATTATATATTATTATCACCTTATTATTTACTTTATTAGACTGGACAGCAAAGGCTCAATCCAAAAAAAAAAATTCAACCAAATTGAAATTACAAAAAAACAAAATGCCTTATAGTGTCACAGTGGGTACAATTGTGTCTGATTTTTTTGAATAAATTATATGACATTTGAGCTAAAATTTTTTTATAAACTTTTAACCTGGCCTTATTAACATTTATTCTATTTAATATTATTGTTACTTGCTTTTCGTACTCTTCAGCGTAATAGTACCAGTGCAATATCTTAGCTTGATTGGCTTTTTACTTGCACGACTAGCCTTTTTTTTTTTTTTTTAGCCTTCTTCTTCACAAGAAGTCATTAATGACCTAGATATAGCAAAAATAAAGTGATGCTATAGGTGTTGTGAACGAAGTTGGGTGTTGTAGTAGATCTCACAGGTGTTGTGGTATATCTAATATATAGATATTCAAAAAATAGTACTGTATGGCAGCCAGATATACGAAAACTATACTAAATTTTGATTGTACATACAGTTAATATATTAGATATCACTTTCAAATTTCCATTAATTAATAATTGATATACATAAATTTAAATTTTATACTGATTAAAATGTAATATACATACATCAAATCTAAAGTATGTTTAATAAAAGTATTTAATTTAAAGTTTTTTAAAAAAAATTTTATTGCAAAATGTCTTCAAACCTTACTTCTGTAGAACTAGTTAAGATATAGCAGATGTAGAAGTATGTGTATTTGTTGAGGGCTACACAAGCTAACTAATCACCACCAAACAACACAAAGATGATTTTATTTGGCAAGGCTAAATCAAGTTAAGCGAACTATTCTTGCTCTTTATTAAGGGCAAAAAGAGCCCATTTTATACAATTTTTGTATATACAGAGGAAAGAAAAAAGAACAAAATCAATTTTTTTTAAATCTAAATTTGGCAAGCATGCCACTTTTGGCTTTGCTTGGCTATCTCTGTATAAGCTTTTCCATGAAGCTTACTCCTTTAGCCTCATTTACTGCATCTTGGGGCTTTATAGAAGTTTTGATTCAGGGTCTTTTGTTGTGGTTTTGGGCTGAATTTGGCATGGTGAATTAAAATTTGAACTGATAGACTCATTTCAACAAGGGACAAAATAGGCCAATAACTAATATACTTTTTATAAAAAAAATGTTGACATAAAGTGTTGGACTAATAAAATCTAAGCATTATTAATTTTGTTTATATCAATAGTCTTTCGGGATATCTTGAAAACAATTTAAATTAAAATTTTCCATTCGAGCTTGATAAGTATAAAAAATTAACAAATAGATATTTATATATATAAAAGAGCTTTGAAGATTTACAATTAAAAGTTTTATTTTATATTCTATGTAGTGATCATATTAAGAAAAAAAATCTGATCTCATATTCGAATACATTATTAAATTTAATTCAAAAAGATATTATCGAGCATGATCGATCATTCGTGATTGATCAAAAAAGTTTTGATCAATTATCACCTCTAGCCAGTAAATATCTAGTAGGGCAAAAAGGGGAGTTCTGGCACACTTTTTTGGTACCCTGGGTACTAAAGTATTCATTTTGCTTTTTAGAT